AGCGTAACTTTTACAAATGTCAAGCTATGGCGATAAAATTGGGTGGAATTGTCAATGATAGATGTGGCAACCTAACCAAAAAACAGAACTCAAATCAGCTGACTCAGAGCATCTCATACTCACCTGGTGGCAATTCCGGGAACTTTTTGATCAAGGTAGTATTTCCCCCACAAAACCGTTCCACTTTCATTTAAAACATTTTTTATACCATCAAAAATAAGCGAAATATTTCAGATGGTCGATTTAAGTGGACCACCCTGTAAATAACAGAAATAAAATGTTATTTTTCAAACTTTTTTGTAAATAACTTTTTAATAATGAGCGACAGCTAAAACTTGTTGGAGGTCACTCGGGGTCATGACCTTAACAACATATGTCAAGGTCAAAGTCATCGGAGCCGGGTCCCCTATTGTCGATATTTACCAAAATGTATCATAAACGTTTGTAAATTGATATTATTATTATGTGAGAATACTCGCATCTTTTAAATGTCAATTATTGGGAACATGATGTCTAAGACCAGTAATCACCATTTATCGACGTGAAAATCACGTCACCTTGCTTCTTGGGGCGCTGTAAATCGGCCGCGGATATCCGGTTGAGTTCATTCAATGGCCGCTCCAATCATTTTGTACATATATACACAACACATATACACATGATACACATAAATAATATATATAAGTTACTTTCCATTTACACACAAGTGGAAGTGAGTCTGAAGTGTGCTGAATATCTTATATTCAGATTAATGACGTTACTACTTGCTTACTTTAGTAAAAAGTTATCACATGTAAACACAAGTTCGTAACCTCACTTTGAAATGAGTTTACGAGACTCACTAAAGTACACAGTCTCAATTTGTGCAGATTATAGGTAAAAACTCAATTGAATCTCACTTGTCAGAATGTAAAAGGAACGCGCATTCAACTGACCCGGGAAAAAATGTTTTATATAAAATTATAGAGGAGAAGATGGTATTATGACACCCCAGTTACATTTTACACAATAACTTCGTTAAAAATCAATATTCAAATCTAAAACTTGATAATTACATTCATTAAAATGTTGTTGAATCGATTCTGGACTCAAAGTTATGAAATATTTATTACTTAGGATGCTGTTAATAAAAAATGTGGCGACATTGCAAAATGACTCTAAGAAAAAAATGGGTGGTAATATGACCTTCCATAAAAATAGCCTTAAAATATTATTTCATATAACAAATCAAACTAACCAAGACTCCTTATAAATCAAAAGAACTAAGAAAGAATATGGGCAATAGGAGTCTAGCGTGGAAGATGTTGAGCAAATAATACGACTATATATAGCGTAAAACTTTTTTATTTTACTAAACGCGCTTACATGTTTCGGCTCATTTTTTAGCCTTCTTCAGAGACAACATAAACTCACATATATAAAATATAACAAATATTAACTTGTCATGATGAGCTCTCCCGTATCGAGAATATAAATGCCAGAATTAAACCCAGATAAGAATGAAATAAAGAAAAAAGAAAAGAAATTTTGGAAATCTCGAAATAGAGAAAATGAAAAACTAATGTATCAGAAAATTTTGAAATTATAATTGATTATCCCGAAAGTTAGGAAGCTCACCATGGTCGACAAGGCACCATATCGCAAACAAAAACATATCGTGCGGATAAGGGTAGTGTGACAGTAGCATTAGATAGACAGGTGTATATTTCCAAGATGAGATGCTTCAGGATAAGAATACGTATGAGGTTGTTAGAAAGGATCCGACGAGGAGGATAGTAACGAACTTACGCGCCTTATTAGTTGGTTGGAAAGAAAAAAATATATCGGAATCCACATATAGAGGTTTGTTATGCAATGATGGAATACTTCTGAGGGCCTCTTCCTAAGCAGGATTGTCCCTTTCGTATAATAGTTTCTTCGATAAATAGTCCCTTGTATTCGTTGACAATGTTTCTTCATAATATTATCATTAAAACAATTCCTAAGGCGGATAGTTATATTGAAAATAGTTTCAAACTTGTTAAGGAACTTGATGGTAGGCGGCTTAGTAATGAATTCCAGTTAATGTCATTGGATGTCGTTAGCTTCTTCACTAACGTTCCTATCGACTATGAGATGGACTGTATCAACCATTGGAGCTTTATCTCTAGAGATTGCTGTTTATTGGAAGAGGAATTCATTAAAGCGTTTCATTTTGTTTTGGATTCTACTCTCTTTGTTTTTGATAGTGTTACTTATAAGCAGAATTATGATACGCCTATGGGCTTCCCGTTGTCTCCCGTCATCGCGGATTTAGTTATGCAAAGGTTGGAGAGTAGAGCTTTGTCTTCGATTAGGTTTCCGTTACCCTTTTATTATAGATATGTTGATGACATAATCATGGCTCCTGATTATTCGGTTAGTTCCATTCTTGAGATTTTTAATTCTCAGCATCCACGGCTTCAGTTTACTATGGAAGTGGGGAGTGATAGATTAAATTTTTTAGATGTTGTAATGATTAGGGATAATGAGACGATAGAGTTCGATTGGTACCACAAGCCGACTTTTTCAGGTAGATATTTTGGTTCAGGAGAACTTTTGGTCACAACACCCGGTTTCGTAAAAAATAGGTACAGTCGCGGGATTAGTTGATAGAGTAGTTCTGCTTTCGAATCCCAAATTTCTTTGGTAACTTTTGTTTCATAATTAAGGTATTGTTAGGGAATGATTATCCATTGAACTTTATATTTGAGAACATTAGTAATCGGTTGAAGAATGTTATTAGCTAGTTATATAATTTATTGGCTAGTAATAGGAAGAATGTAATTAAGGAGAATAGCGTTGATGTACTGCAAGTTTCGTGGTTCACGGTTCCTTTCGTTCGTGGCATTACTGAGAAGTTTAATAGATTAAAGAGCGATCATATGAGGGTGTCGTTTTATAGCATTAACAAATTGCGAGAATTCATTAGGGTACAGAAGGATCCGGTACCGCGTAGTAATAAGTCGAATGCAGTTTACAAGCTTTCTTGTAAGGACTGTGACGCGAGTTACGTGGGACAGACGTATAGACAGCTAAAAACAAAAGTCACGGAACACAAGAACCATATCTGATGGAACACGTCTACCCGCAACGTCATAACGGAGCACCGTTTGCAAGAGGGCCATGAGTTTGATTGGGACAACGTTACAATACTGGACGAGGAACCTCACTACAAGAAGAGACTGACTTCGGAAATGATATTCATCAGGAGACATACGCACGGACTTAACATGCAGACGCATATGGAGGGGCTTCCCAAGGCCTATCTCCCGATCATTGACAAGCTATAAAAGGTCGAATTGTTGTTGCGTCTAGTCAGTCAGTATCGCTCGTACACAGGAAGAAGTATTTCTAGCGTTGATTTTAAATTATTTTCAAAATTCTTTTTCTTGAATTTGATTAACTTTTTAATGTTAATTTTCTAATTGCTATCTCAATAAAGACCAACTAAATCTAAAAATGACTCACTGTGTCTGATACTGACTGGCCAACATATCAGAAACCGGTTTTTGAATTACTAATAGTATTGTTTGCGATATGGTGCCTTGTTGACCATGATGAGCTTCCTAACTTTCGGGATAATCAATTATAATTTAAAAATTTTCTGATACATTAGTTTTTCATTTTCTCTATTTCGAGATTTCCAAAATTTTTTTTCTTTTTTTCTTTATTTCATTTTTATCTGGGTTTAATTCTGGCATTTATATTCTCGATACGGGGGAGCTCACCATGACAAGTTAATATTTGTTATATTTTATATGTGTGTTTATTATTTATATTATCTCTGAAGAAGGCTCAAAAATGAACCGAAACATGTAAGTGCGTTTAGTAAAATAAAGAAGTTTTACGCTTTATATAGTCGTATTATTTGCGCAACGTCTTCCGCGCTAGACTTCTATTGTCCATGTTCTTTCTTAGTTCTTAAAATATTAGTTTTGTTTAGAAAACAGTAGATATTTGGTCACAAAATTACCAAAAAAAACACGTTTTAAAATGTATGGAAATAAATGTATATATAATACATTCACATAACTTCTGCATATAAGCTGCTCAGTACTAAAAATAGTACACGTAATATAAACTATAGATTAACAGTAAAGCTACAATTGATTATCAATTAATTATTTTGATATGGAAACCTCAAAAAAGAGGTCGTGAGTAATCAATATCCATAGAAGGCCACGTTAGCAAAATGCTATGATATTGTTTAAATTTATAATTCAAAATATACATAGTCAAATAAAATGTTAAATAGTAAATAACACACTCAAAAATACATATATTCGTGTGATAATATGCTCAAGTTTAAGAAAAATGAGGAAGTAGATGTAATTAAATGCTAAAGTGTACCTCAGAAACGTTTTGAAATACTTGAAAGTAAAAATGCGTTATAATAAGTACTGGCTATTCAGTATTGGTAATATTAGCATCATAGTGTAACGGCGAGCTACTGAACTAATAATTCCATAAGTAGTCATTAGGATTCGCTATATAATAGCGGAGATATTATGGAAGGCTACAATATATACACTGGCCATAATACCACCTTCTTTTCTATACAGGATGTCCCGAATTTAAATGTCTAAACTTCGGGAGCGTGTAGGGGATCGATAAACTAAGAAAAAAGTCCTGTAGAGATATGCTCGTTTTTGCTTCGTTTTGAAGAAAATCACAAAAAAAGACAAAACGTAGTTTTCATTTTTGTACTTTGTCATTACTTATTCACGTTATATTTATTCACTTGCTTAATATAGATATTGTTCAAAATGTTAGCCTCTTGCAGCAATGCTAGTATTGCATCTAGTAGACGGAGCTCGTGTTGCAGCCAAACTGCTTCAGGACCCCGCACACAAAGAAGTCCAAATCATGATCGGGGTGGCCAAAGTACTACTCCTCTATGTCTAATCCATCGTCGTGGATAATGTCTGTCTAGCTAAGCTCGAATAGTTCTGTCATAATGAGCTGAACATCCATCGAGTTGAAATCACATTATTTCAATCCGTTGCTGCAGTTGGATGTTTTCTAAATAATCAAAGAAATCAGTATATAATCTCCAAAAACTCAATATATCTGGCTGCATTTAATCTGTCGGGTAAAAAAATGGTCCTACTAGAGAGTCGTTCCAAATCCCGAGCCAGATATTAACAGCAAATTCATACTGGAACCTACTTTCTCTAACAGTCCTGGGATTTTCATGAGTCTATACATGATAATTTCTTTGATTAATAATTTCTCCTCTTGTAAATGTAGTTTCGTCCGTTCAGATCATTTTTGATAGAAATGAATTATCATTATTAAATTGCTCAAGAAATCAATTGCTAAAATTCAACCTCTTGAAATAATCCTGAGGTTCTGCACATTTTGAATATGGTACGAATGGCGGTTATCATTTCTTAAAGTTCGATAGATTCTTTGTCGTGGCAATTGTAATGCAGCTGACGCTCTCCGGACGCTGGTCTCAGGCTTGTTATCAAAGTGGTGCAGGACACGATTTTCTACTTGCATATTTGCTCCTAACGGATCTTGATGAATTGAAAATGAACAGGTCTCTCGCAGCCTATTAAAAGTCATTGTAATGATTCGCCGATCCGGCACTCTTCTGTTTGGAAATCGGCGTACATACTCTCGTACCGCCTCTTTAGCATTACCGTCGCAGAAATCATATACGAAAACCATGTTAGCATATTCAACGTTAGAATATATACGCGGCATATTGTGACAAATGTAATTCACTCGATAGCTTGTGACAACTGACGAATTTATAGGAGAAGGGCAGAAATGTAAACAAACAAAAAAAGGTTTACCTAAAAACGGAATTATTATTATTATTTTCGTGCACGATTTCAGCGACGATAATACTTCAGAGGCAGTGCAGGAATGAAATAACTACGTTTTATCTTTTTTGCGATTTTCTTCAAAATGCAGCAAAAACTAGCATATCTCTACAGGACTTTTTTTTGTAGTTTATCTCGACACGCCTCTACACGCTTCCGAAGTTTAGACATTTAAATTCGGGACATCCTGTATAATTTTATATAATTGTATATAAAAGAACATATTTTATATATCCGTATGAAGGTATTTATGTTGTACATTTTATACGGTCGGGTCTTATTCCTAAATAATATTTTTTAAAATAATAATTTTTGATAATAAAATTTCAGCATTTCAGAAAAATTTCAACTTAATTTTAGCAATTTTTAGTTGAAAAATTCATTTTTAGCAAAATTTCAGCAAAAATTTCAGAGAAATTTCAGTTCAGTTTCAAAGATTTTTTAGTATGTTAGCTGAAAAATTCGCTTTCAGTGAAATTTCATCAAATTTTCAGCAATTTCACTGAAATGTTCTAAAACGTGAAATAATTTCAGCGAAATTTTTTCATTAGAGTTGAATGCTGAACCTAAAACCAATATTTGTGCAAGAAAGAAAGCTATAAAGTCCCGGTCGACTACATATAATGCGTATGTGCCACTCAGCTCATTTTCCCCCGTTCCTCTTTGCTCCACTTTGTTGTCAGTGGCTGTGTTCAGCAGATTGGTCAAATTCGGGTGATGTTGCCAAAAAAAAAGGAGTGGATGGTAGAGTCAACTACGATTATCTTATGTAAAAATTATTATCGATAGATTTATGATCTCTTCTTAGAAGTATAAACTCTAACAGAGAGATCGTCGCTAATCACGAACGCGCGGTGTTGAATAGCGATAAAAATAAAAGACTTATCCTTCGAGTACCAGAAGTTAAATTTATGATTTTTTTAAACCTCTACAGCAAACTTGATATCTATTCTTTGTTTAGAGTTAGCATTAGACGCCAGTGTTCATTGTGTTTTAACTGCAGGTGTATAGAATTCCTATCCAGAATCGATTTATTTATTTATTCGTCTATTGAAAAGAGAGTCTTTCATGATTCTTTGACTAAGTCCACAACCTTGCTTTAAGAGGCCGACAATATATCGACCACAGAACTTATATTTTAGGCCGTAAGAATTGAGTTTTGCTCAATTTGCTTAAGTCTAATGGTTAAAGCCTAAAGATTGCGCAAAAACAATTTAAAGACAGAAATTATTGTCACTTAATCTCTTTCGACTTATGACTTAAGGCTTCTTAAAGCAAGATTGGGGACCAAGACTTTATCTTGAACGGACCATTGTCTTTACCATCTTTACATCTTATTATCGCTTCCAACTCTCCGTGGTTGCCTAGTTAAGGGCCGCGACACAGATCTTTGCATAAAGCATAACGTGTAACGCATAAGAAAATCAACCAAAGATCATTATGTGATATTTTTTTTGATCCAGATTTTCGAGGTACGCTTGTTATTTCCTAAAAAATAACGGTTATCGCCGACATTAGCGTTACCCAATGTGCACCACATGGAAGTTGTCGGTCGGAATTTGCACATCATGTGTGTGTGTGTATGTGTGCGTGCATGCGTGCGTGTGTATGTATGAGAGAGACAAAGAGATAGACATGTACGTGGGTGTATTTAATATTATGTGTTTCCTCCTCTCTGATTAATCACCGCTTCTAGTCGTTGTCGCATAGTTATGCATCTCTGAATCAAGGTTATTGGAATTTCGTTCCAAATCTGCCTAAGCACTATTCCCAGTTCGTGGCATCTTAATCGTCGTCCCAAACGTGTTCGATCGGATTCAAATCCGGGCTATAAGCGGGATGATGGAGCAATGTGATGTCAAGTCACTCAAAAAAACGTTGCGTTGCATTTGTCGTATAGGGCCGAGCATTGTCTTGCATGAATATAAAATTCCGGCGTAACAAACGCTGCAGAGGCAAAACTTGAGACCGGAGGACATTATTCACATATCGAATGCCCGTCAATGCTGGCGGTGGCAGAATTATTAATTCAGTCCGTCTTGTCAATGAAATGCATCCCCATACCATCACTGAACCGCCGCACAGTGGGGCCGAACGAACTTTCGCATTTCAAAAAGGGCTACAGTCTCGAAATTTGAACCGATTTCGATGAATTTTTTTTTAAATGAAAGCTAATTAAATTTGGAACAACTTTGTCTAGCCAAATTTTTATTTTTTGCTTCTATTTTTTATTAAAT